TCTTAAATGCAAACCCTGCTCTGAAACTCTCCCTGGACACATGTAATAGGACCCTTTATCACCACATCAGAAATAAATATCTCTTTGATATCCCCAGAGTCAATCCCCAAACATAAAGGGACCTGGTCTATGGAACTCACTCCCTAATGAATTGAAAAGCTGTCCAACTTTTGCCTCATTCAAAAAAAAAAAAAAAACTAAAAATTACCTAATTTCATCTTCATAGTTTCCTACCTTGTGCCTTAAAATTGCACTGTATCTAGTGCTACTCAATCTTTATGTACCTAATCCAAACAACTTTACCATTATGATCATTGCTGTCTTCTTATATGTGCTATCAATATGCTGTTTTGTGCCTATTAATCTTTGTTAAATTACTATCAAGCTATCAATACAATCAATCAGAGCTACCGATGTGCTTTAATATACCTACTAATCTCTCTCATCTCATTTTTTTCTTGCAATGTATCTGTTATCATTTTATTAATTCCTCTAGAATTTACCTACTTAAAATTATCTGTTAGATTAAGGACCTGCCCAAAATGCTGCGCGTACTAGTGGCTTTACAAGAATGTAATTACCATGCTATGTATCCTCAAAAACCCAATGTACATTCTTGTATATAAATATAAATAAAAAGACCCTTACTCGACCAAGTACTCTCTGGGCTTGCACACATTGTTCCTGTATTGCTAAACTCAAACTGATAATTATTAAGCCATCAACATCAAAGTAGTGACATTGCACGTCACCACTTTGACGTGGTAACTTGCCATTGCACGTAATTAAAGTTAAAGTAAAGTAAAAGTCCACAACTGTACTATGTTTTGTATGTTTTTTTTTAATATACGATCAATTATTATTAGTCAATACCCTTAATAGATTTGATAATGGATATATAGCACTGACAACTGTATAGATAATTATTTAGCTAATGACAAACAAGTACATCAAAGGAGCTTTTAATACAACAAGCAATTGCAATTTTAGTGAAGCTTGCATGTATGGGATCTTGTATGAGATTACTCAGGATCTTGTGCCAACATCAGAAAAGGGCAACAGTAATCAAAGGATCTCTGTAGTACAGTTGGGTTCTTTCTCGACTCAGTCGGGAGTCCTGGGTTCGAATCTCGTGCAGGGTAGAAATGACTCGGCATGTTTCCTTTCATCTAATGCTTCTGTATACCTAACAGTAAACAGGTACTTGGGAGTTAGTTAACTGTTGTGAGTTGCATCCTGTGAAATGGTAGAATACTAGAATGGACAAAGCAAAGGTTAAATGGTCGTTCAAAATGGAAATGAATCTGACTGGAGAAATTTGATGAGTGGAGTACCGCAAGCTTCCATCTTGGGGCCAATCCATTTTTTTCATAAACATCAATGACATATATGGGAATATTGCAATCCAAACCATCAAATTTGCACAAGACACTAAGATCTCCAGAAATCTGATAAATCTGATAAAGATCTCTGATAAAGTAAGAAGCAAAAATTATATCCAGACTTTACAAAGAGATGAACATGAACTTCTCAAATAGTCGGAAGACTGGCAAATGATTTTTGATATGGAAAATGCAGCACCTTACATGTGCTGCATTTTCCGTCTGGCCAGAAAATTTTCGGGGGGTTATGGGCCGCCTCCGTCTGGTCGCCCCCCAGGCCAGACGGGGGCGGCCCCAGTGCTACAAATCGGCATCTATAGCGCCCCTTAACCCCCCCCCCCCTGCAATTTTCATAAAGTCAAATCTGAAATAGAGATTGTGTTTACCGTAGATATATTTAGCAGTGTCAGTGGTTCGAAATATTACATTTTCCGATAAAGAAAGTGGGGGAGGGGGAGGCGAAAAATGTTTGAATAAATAAATAAATAAAAATAAATATGTTTATTCAGGTAAGGTACATACATACAAGTGATGTTACATTAATGGATTGATATATAGATAGAGCTAGTACATACAATGCCTAAAGCCACTATTACGCAATGCGTTTTGGGCAAGAAAAACATTAATATCTAGAACTTAATACTAATTGAGCATAAAGAATAAAAAGTGTTGAAAACAAATACAAATAAAGATAAAAAAAGAGGGGGAACATGACTGAAAAAGCAGCACAAATACAATAGGTTGACAAACAGTGTTGATTAAAAAAAATAATAATAATAAAATAAGATAACAGACATGGGTTGACAATAAAGGAGTGAGTGGGTTACAGGGAATTTATTAGGTAGTGTTTAGTTTTTATCTTAAACTGGTTGAGAGAGGTACAGTCTTTAACATGGTTGGGAAGGTCATTCCACATTCGGGTACCTTGATTTGTAGAGCATTTCTAGTTTGATTAAGTCTACTCTAGGAATATCAAAACTGTATTTATTCCTGGTGTGGTGACAGAAACAGAATATTACAATGACAGTTACAATGACAGAATATTAACAATGACAGAAAATATTACTCACCACATAATCAAATTTGCAGATGACACTAAGACTTATGGTAAAGTAGAGGGAAGGGGGAGAAAGGTGGAGAACGGAGATTAGAAAAGAGGGTGGAGAGTTAAGGAGAGGGGGATTTGAAAGTTGAGAGAGGAAAAACCTAGGTGCACCCAGGTACCCTATCTTTGCATAATATAAAATCATAATAACAACATGTAATCATATAATGATTAGTATATGATTATGGACTAATCACATGGACTTTGTTGAAACTTTTGGCAAGGTACCACATGAAAGACTAGGAAGGAAACTACAGGCACTTGCAATAAATGGGAGAATACTGGAATGGATAAAACAATGGTTAAAACAATGAAAACCCGAGTCGTGCTAAATTAGAATAAATCTGACTGGAGAAATGTGGTAAGTGGGGTACTTTTGTCATTATACATCAATGACAGAAAATATTACTCACCACATAATCAAATTTGCAGATGACACTAAGACTTATGGTAAAGTGGGAAGTGAAAATGAGATTGAGACTTTACAAAGAGATCTACATGAACTCCACAAATGGTCATAAGAACGGCAAATTCGTTTTAATATCGATAAATGCAAGACCTTGCATGTGTGGGCATAACAATCCACGTCACAACTAGCAAATTAACAGAATTCATTATTCATCATCAACCTTGCAGCAGATTGTCGGATAAAAGGACCTTACCTTGAGGTTACCTTGAGGTGGAGGTTAATTGGAGGTTACCAATTTTTGTCAACTACCATTCAAGCTGTCATTGCAACCAATCTTATATTGTTTCTGCTGTATTGTGCCTACCAATTTTTTGTCAACTACCATTCAAGCTGTCATTGCAATCAATCTCAGCTACCTATGTGCTTTAATATACTGTACCTACAATTTTCTCTCATCTTTTTTTTTCATTTCATGTAATCTGTTATCATTTTTTTTGTCTATAATTTTTGCAAGTATTTACCTCCTTAAAATTTTCTTAGATTAAGGACCTGCCCGAAACGCTGCGCGTGCTAGTGGCTTTACAAGACTGTAATTACCATATTTGTATCCTCACATTCCTTATGTACATTCTTGTATATGCATAAATAAATAAATAAATAAATAAATAAATAAATAAATAAATAAGGTGCTTCCGGGGCTTAGCGTCCCCGCGGCCCGGTCGTCGACCAGTCCGCCTGGGTGCCGCCTGATCACGTCTTGTTTTCGCGATTTGGCTTTGCTACTGCCGTTTGGCATCCCTTTTCAGCGGTCCGATTGTACGACGCCTGGCGCACATATCGCCTTGGGTCACAGGATTATTGATAGATTTTTTTTTGACGTGTTCTGGCTGGTTCTCCCGGCGGAGTGACGGTGTTCGGGGGCCGGCTTGGCCGAGAGGCGCCGGGGGTTGGCAGGTCTTGGTGGGCTCCTGGTGTGCCCTCAGTCGTGGCGGGCGGCTGGCTTCTGCTCTGCCGGGGGACGCTGGATGACTTTTTGCGTTTTAGTTTGGGGCAGAGTTTTGGTTTTGCTACCTGGTGTTCTCTGTGTGGAGAGGGGCCGGTGCTTGTCACCCTGAGGGTCTCCTGGGCCTCCCCAATCATCTGCCTGACTGTGCGTTTATTTGCCGTATGGCATATTAGTTTTGTAGCGAGTAGATTATCCCAATAATATACTCGCTCCAAATGCATTGTTAATATTCCTGTCAACCTTTGGAGATGAATGAGGTGAGGCGTTGCCTGGGCAACACGGTGAGGTGTTGCCCGAGCATATAAGCAGCGGTAATAGTGTAGCGAACATTGGCCAGTCTACTTAAAATTGTATTGTATTGTATTGTGTGGTCTAGAGCAGACACTTGCGAGATACTGTACCAACGCTCAGTGCGCTCAACTCACACCAAAGTATCACCGGTGTACTTCTGTATATTCGACCAAATATATATATATATAGTATCTTAGTGTCTGTGTTTATTTGTCACCATACTTTACGTAACAATAGAACCGTTACAGTTTCTAGTGATTGGCGTCACTCGTTTTGCGATTTGGCTTGGCGTTCCACCTCTCCAGGCTTCGCGATTCACCCTTAACGGGTACGCCGGGGCGCATCAGATCCCACGATCGTCGTCGCCCCTAAATCAACAACAACTGCCCACAGAGACTGCTTTCCTAAATGCCTTTCTTTTCCTTTCCTTTCCAAAACGAAAGGTTGGATGACATTGCCCGAAACGCTGCGCGTGCTAGTGGCTTTACAAGACTGTAATTACCATATTTGTATCCTCACATTCCTTATGTACATTCTTGTATATGCATAAATAAATAAATAAACATCCCATTACCCACACAAATGTTTGAAAAAGGTGAAGATACTGAATTTAGGGATATACCCATAAAATAAAAGGTTCGAGACCCATCAGGTGAATGAAATATATCCATAACATGCACAAGAACATATGAAATGAAGGTAAAACTGCCGAAGACCTATTGGCCCATACGACGCATAATAAAATTAGATTGGGCTCGTCATCTAGTCAACATTTTGGGCTCGTTGTTAGCGTTGTCAACAGATTGAGTTCCTTATCCTTATCAGCGGGCGCATCCGATCCCACGATCGTCGTCGCCCCTAAATCAACACAATCAATTATCTTTATCAGGCAATCAAAGACATTGATAACTTTCAATCTGCCAAATTATGAACATTGATGTACCACTGTGAGTGCCGCATCTTTCACCATCAGCACACATGCAGGCATCGTGAGGATTAAACCCTTACAAATTGCATCTACCATCAAGAAGAAGTTTTACAACGACGCATATGAGCTGTTTCAAGACCCCCTGCTGTCTACCACGTACTCACCTATTTGTGCTTGCGGTGGGGTTGAACCCTGGCTCTTTGGTCCCGCCTCTCAACTGTCAATCAACTGGTGTACAGATTCCTGAGCCTACTGGGCTCAGTAGGCTCAGGAATCATATTTACATATGGTTCATATTTAGATTCTGACCTTATCATATTTATATTATGTATGGAGTCAGCCTCCACCACATCTTTGCCTAATGCATTTCATCTACTAACTACTCTGACACGGAAAAAGTTCTTTCTAATGTCTCTGTGGCTCATCTGGGTACTAAGTTTCTACCTGTGTTCCCTTGTTCATGTTTCACCCATGCTAAAGAGTTTGTCTGTCCACCTTGTCAATTCCCCTTAGAATTTTGTAGGTGGTTATCATGTCTCCCCTTACTCTTCTGTCTTCCAGGGACGTGAGTTTCAGCTCCTTTAGCCTTACCTCGTAGCTCATACCTCTCAGTTCCAGAACGAGTCTGGTGGCATACCGCTGAATCTTCTCTTTGTCTTGTGTTTAACTAAGTATGGACTCCAAGCTGGAGCTGCATATTCCAGGATTGGTCGAACATTAGTGGTATACAGGGTCCTGAACGATACCTTACATAAGTTTCTAAAGGCAGTTTTTATGTTGGCCAGTCTAGCATATGCCGCTGAGGATATCCTTTTGATGTGGGTCTCTGGGGACAGGTTCGGTGTGATAACCCCCAGATCTTTCTCTGTATTTGACTTGTAGGATTTCACCTCCCATATGGTACCTTGTGTTCAGCCTTCTGCTCCCTTCGCCAAATTTCATTACTTTGCACTTTCCTGAGTTGAACTTTAGTAGCCATTTTCTAGACCATTCCTCCAGCCTGTCCAGGTCATCCTGTAGTCTCTGTCTATCATCATCTGTCTTGATTCATCTCATAATTTTTGCATCATCAACAAACATTGAGAGGAATGAGTCTATACCCTCTGGAAGATCATTTACATATATTAGAAACAGGATGGGTACAAGTAAAGAGCCCTGTGGGACTCCGCTGGTGATATCTCGCCACTCTGATGTCTCCCCCCTCACAGTTACTCACTGTTTCCTGTTGCTTAGATACTGCCTTATCCACTGGAACACCTTACCTTTTACTCCTGCCTGTTGCTCCATCTTTCGTAATAGCCTTTTATGGGGTACAGTACTGTGTCAAAAGCTTTCTGACAGTCCAAGAAAATGCAGTCTGCCCACCCTTCTGTTTCTCACCTAATTTTTGTTGCTTGGTCATAGAACTCTATTAACCCTCTGAGGCACGATTTACCATCTCTGAACCCATGCTGGTGGTGTATTACAAAGCTATTTCCCCTCCAGATGCTCTATGAGCCTTTTTCTCGCAACCTTTTCCATCACCTTGCATGATATACAAGTTAGGGAAACTGGCCTGTAGTTCAGTGCCTCTTGCTTGTCACCCTTTTTGTATATTGGGACTACATTAGCTGTCTTCCAGCTTTCTGGTAGGTCTCCTGTTTCCAGTGACTGTTATACACCATAGAGAGTGGCATGCTTAGTGCTTCTGCACCTTCTTTTACTATCCACGGTGAGATTCCGTCATGCCCAATAGCCCTTGTCACATTCAGCTCCATCAGATTCCTTTTGAACTCATCACTGGTGAGGTCAAAATCCTCTAAAGGTTGCTTGATTTGCCTCCTCATTTAGCGCAGGGGCTTCTTGTTCTTTCGTGAAGACCTCCCGGAATCTCTTGTTGAGTTTTTCACACACCTCCTTGTCATTCTCTGTGTATCTATTCTCCAAGAGAATATGTATATTTGTATATATATATTTACTGTCACTAATTCGCATATACGTTTATCAACAGTCTATAATGATGCTTACGAGCTATTGTTGATTTAGGGGCGAAGACGATAATGCTTATAAGCTGTGATGCCCTCCCGCTAACCGCAATACATGTATTCCAAAAGATGTGTCGGGGGACAGGAAGCCAGAGTGTATTCATCTACATTTGGTTTTTATCGAGACATTTATCGATTTTATTTTTAACATATTTATATGATTCTACAGTATATTCCTTCAGATTTAATTGTTTATATAGACAATAAACATTATTGTTCCTAGAGCTGAACCCTGTGGTACTCCACTGGTAACACTTGTCTAGTCTGATAAATTGCCTCTGATTACTGGCAACATTTTTGTCAGAAATTTTTTCATCCATGTCAGATGTCACCCCTCCAGCATGTTGCAGTTAACATAACAATCTTTTATGTGGGACTCTGTCTAAAGCCTATTTAGGTCCAGATAAATGCAGTCAACCCAACCCTCTATATTTTTTTCCTGTTAAAACTTTGTGCTCTATCATATAAACTAAGTAAAACTTTTTCCAGGTGTTCTACCTATTTGGTTTTAATATATTTTCCAATGTTTTGACTAGTATGCTTGTCAGGTCTATAATTTAGAGGGTCTTCCCTGCAACTAATTTTATTCCCTTCCCTGCAACTAATTTTATTCCCTTCCCTGCAACTAATTCGGTACAATGCCCGAAACGCTTTGCGTAATAGTGGCTTTAGGCATTGTATGTACTAGCTCTACCTATAAGTCAACCAATCTTTGTAAAAATTTCTTGTATGTACCTTACCTAAATAAACATTTATTTATTTATTATTCTAGATTGGAATTATTTACCTGAATTTACCTGAGGGCCACTAACACTGTTTTGATGAGGACAGGAAGCTGGCAGCTTGTCAAAGGTCTCCCCCCCCCATTTGCCTTGATCTTTTCCAGTTGGACTTTAAAATTTAACAGAGTTTTAGCATTTATGACTTTGTGCCATGGGTTTATAATCCTGTGGGTGAAAACGTATCTCCTGTTCTCCACCTACATTATGGCTTGTTGAGCTTGAAACAGTTGCTCCTCATTCATGTTACATCTGACCTTTTGAAGAAATTGTCCGAATCAACATCCTCCAAATTTTTCAGTATTTTAAAAGTTTCAAGTTTAATGAGATGAGTATATTCTAATGAATTCAATGAGATTTGCCCTGTCATGACTGGTTTGCAGTGACAGGTTATATTAGTCTTATTCCATATCTGCCAAAGCTCCTGTGATATTGATATACTATGTGTTAGTAACTTCAGGGATCCACTGGAGCTTACCCAGAAATTGACGTTTCATCACATTCAATGCTGGATTTTTTGCTTAATTTCTCTGCACTTTTTTTGCTTTATTTATTTAAAATATGGAAGGGAGTACCACCTCTGGCTGGAAGAAGGGGACCCTTAGCCTAGGAGGAAAGCACACACAACACATTATAAGGGATGTTTAGGTCCCCTCCAATACAGTTTCAATGTTTTTTTCTCCTACCACCCCTTCCTTTTGTGTTTTGTGTTTTGTTGTGCTTTAATAGATATTGACAGGTTACAAGATGAACATTGGTTGATACAGTGAGTGCTTGAAGGTTATAGATCTCTTGGAGCTCCTCCACTTCCAGACAGGAACCAAGGATGCAGCAGGCATTTCATTTATTTATTTGTATACTATATCTGGGACTTTGGGTCCCGGTAGTACAGTAGGGCTCATTCCAACTCACAATCAAGAATTCTGGGTTCGATTCCTGGGTGGGACAGAAATGGTCAGCACATTTCCTACCATCTAATGCTACTATTCACTTAGCAGTAAGTAGGTACTCAGGAGTTAGTCAGCTTGTTGTGGGGGCTGCATCCTGGGCAGGGTCAGTAATTCGACCTGGGGGAGAGGGGGACTCAATATAACCCTAATGTGTATTAATACACTCTGGCTGCCTGTCCCCTGGCACAATGAATTATTATTATTAATTAAGTACTGTACTATAATTATTTCTTCCTAATGTTTATTGGAGATCTCTTTCTCTCTTTCAGATTTTATTCGCTGGTGAAAAGAGGTTTTCCTAAATACTGTATTTACATGAAAAATCTGTCATAATGCCAGATACCAAATATTTGATCTTTTTGTTGTTGGGACTCGGTGCAATCAGTCTCTGTCTTGGTAATGAGCAATACATTACTCCACAAGTTTGTGATAAAACATCTGAAAGTACATGTGGATGTGCTGCCACCAGCAGAAAGCAGTCTGAAAATATTGTTGAAACTGATGAGCTTAATGATAAGATAACAAGAGTGTCTCAAAATAATGACCCAAGTTTTAAATATAGCCAAGATGCCAACACAGTTGATAACTCAAGACGTACCAACCAAATGGTTGAGATTCCTGGAGGCAGATTTGTAATGGGTACCAATGACCCTGTTTTCCATGCTGATGGAGAACAACCTGCCAGATGGGTAGAAATTGATTCTTTTTATATGGATATGTATGAAGTGACTAATGCAGAATTTGAACTGTTTGTTAATGCAAGCAGCTACAAAACAGATGTAAGTTTCTAGTATCTCTTGGATGTTCTAATGAAACACACATTACATGTATTATAGTTTTCCGAGTGGTTGTCTAAGGTTTGAAAAGTCTAACTTATGGATCTTTCCACAAGTACACAATGTTAAAAAATATGCATGTGATACATGAGTTGTAAACAGGTAAATAGTAGATTGCCTGATCACTTCAACCCTTGCAGGGTGCAAATTATATATACATACAGTGGAACCTTTGTATTCTAACTTAATTGGTTCCTGAAGATGAGACGAATGCCGAAATGTTCGAATACTGAACAAAATTTTCCTGTAAGGAATAATTAAATTGGATTAATCTGTTCCAAACCACAAAAATAAATATATTAATGCAATAATTAAATGAAATAAATGGTAAGATAGTACGCACTTTACTTGCACTTAGAGTTGATGGCATATGTGAAGGTGGTGAGGCAGAGGAAGAGAGATGTTATTCTTTGGCAGGGGAGACCCCTACCATTATAATTCTGGTAGTTGTGCTTCTGGGGTTTACTCTTTTCTGTCTTGTTTTGTTTCCTTCATTAGGCTCACTGGATGCTTTTCTTAAAGGAAACTTGTCCAAGGATGATTGCTTTTGCCTGCACTTTAAAATGTTTCTAAAGCGAGACATAGCATTGTCATTCAACAGGTTTATAACATGATTGTCACTGCTTACCCGGATGCCCTGAGGCTGCTCCATTTGGGTTACAAGGACCTGTACTTAGAGGTGTTAGTCACTTCAACTTTGGTTTCGTCCACGCTCCCGAGTCCTTCCCAGGTTGGTGTTGTTCGTCCTATTCTTTCCCCCCTTCTGGTTCCCAAACATCTGAGGGTTTTAGAGTCGGGCAGGGTTTATACGGTAGTGAGACTTGGGCGACTTCAGGGGCTGCTCCATCCCAGTTGGCAACAGAGGCATTTGAGCCAGTTCTTCCTTCTGAAGCTTGTGTGTCTTACCAGCAGGCCCCATTCTTTTCTGCTGGACTCGGTCTTTTCTATGGGGGTTGAGGGCGTGGAGGACGGCTCTGCCCCGTGTCCTGGGCTGGAGAATCCTGCGGCTGGGGAGGAGTAGACTTGGAGGCTTGGGCTCTGTTTGACCCCGCTTGGGTGTTGGTACCCTCTTTGCAGGACAGGAAATGGCTTGGCGCTTTCCCCCCTGATAGTTCAAGTCTCCCTGTATGAGTATGACTTGGTGTCGGCTCATCCCCAGGTTTGGTTCTTCGGGGCCTTCTTTCCAGAGGTTTTCAGCTCGTCAAATCTAAGGAGGTTTGGGAGGCCATTCCTGCGAGACTCGGATTACGCCTCGGTGATGGATCTATCTTCTTTTGAGTTAGGGTCAACTTTTCCCTATTAGGTGCATTATGAGGTTCTGGAGTCTTCTTGGCTGGTGGACTGCACTTTCTTTTCATTGGGTGCATGGCATGGGTTTTGTCGGACCCACATGCTTAATTGGCGGGAGACTTCTACTGTTATACAGGTTTCCCTGGAAAGGGAAGTTTGAGTGCCTTAATGTGTGCTTGTTTGCCCATGTGCTTCCTAGGGATGTTGGCATTGTGCAGCTCCATGTGCAGGTTCCTGCCCTTCCGGCTGCCTTGGTTGCTTAGGACTTGAGTGCCTGTGGTGCATTTAGCCTCTGTGTTGCATTTCTTTGCCCTTCTCGGGCTGTCCTCAGCAATCTGAGGACAGCTTGAGGAGGATGTGGAGGCGCTGGGTGTCAGCTCTTCCTCTGGTGCACTTACCTCGGTGGCTCAGGTGTCGGCTGCCTTGTTGAAGGCAGCGACACCTGCGGCTGCGGTGTCGGCAGCCGCAGGTTTGCGTCGACTCTCAAGGAGGCGGTGTCTCTGTTTTTTGCTTCTCGCCACGGGTGTCGACAGGCTGTGCTTGTGCTCTCCTTGGAATCCGCTTGGGCTCTGGTTTTTAGGTTTTCATCGCCTTTTTACCCATTGCTGTTTGCAGTCTGCTATCACGCAGACTGCATGACAGCAGACTGCAAAAGGCAGGCTGCCTTGTCTAGTTGCCGTCCCATGTCAGAATTGTTGGCTCTCCAGGGGGGGGAGGGCCGTGGAGGGCTTTCTCGGAAGGGTCGTGCCAGGGCTTCGGGGTTCCTCCAGTCATGGCAGGCCAATGGTACCAGTTTCTGAGCCGGTGCTTCCTTTGGAGCTGGCGTTGTCTGGTCGGCGCAATGATCGTGCTGCTCGTCGGTCGGCTTCTCATGAGGGGTGTTGGCCCTTTCGCGGATTGCCCCGTTGATGGGGCAATGCAAGGGTGGCTCGTGTTGTTTGCTCACGCCTGGTCTCACAATTCGTGGGCATTTCGAGTCGTCTCCTCTGGCGGCGTTGGGTGGCTCCTCCTCCTCTGGGGGTGGGTTCGGGGTTGGTGGTTCAGGCCTGTTCCTCCTCGCTTTGTTAGGTCATTTTAGAGTGGGTGCGCTAGGGCATGGTCGAAACCTCTACATCCCTCAGGTGGGTTTCCCCGCCTGTTTCCAGTTCCAAAATGGTACTGTGCGGATCTGAGGTTCATTCTGAACTTATCCTGTCTGAACCCCTGGATCTATTGCTCCTTTTTTTGTATGACCACTCTGTCCCAGGTCCAGCGTCTCTTGGAGTCAGGTGCATGTATGGTGTCTCTGTATCTCTAGGATGTGTATTTTTTTTTTTTTTTTTTTGAGATATATACAAGAGTTGTTACATTCTTGTACAGCCACTAGTACGCGTAGCGTTTCGGGCAAGTCCTTAATCCTACGGTCCCTGGAATAAGATCCCCTGCCGCGAAGAATCGTTTTTTCATCCAAGTACACATTTTACTGTTGTGTTAAACAGAGGCTACAGTTAAGGAATTGCGCCCATTAAATCCTCCCCGGCCAGGATACGAACCCATGACATAGCGCTCGCGGAACGCCAGGCGAGTGTCTTACCACTACACCACGGAGACTGCAAATTGTATTGGCACATCTTGATTCATCTGGGGTTTCAGGTTAGGTTTTGTGGTGGGGCGTCAAGCTTTCCGCTTTCGTTATCTTCTGTTTGGTCTGAATCTGGCACCTCGCGTGTTCACGCGTTTTATCTGGGTCATGGTGACCCGTCTGCATCTGTTAGGGTTTTGGGTTTTTGCCTACCTCAACAATTGGCTGATGTGGGCTCCTAGTCGGTCTGCATGTCTACTCGGCAGGGGTGTGGTTCTTTCCCACCTCGCCGAGTTCTGGTTCCTGGTGAATTTGAGGAAGTTTCATCTGGTTCCATCTCGGGTTCGTATTTGGCTGGGTCTTGTATGGGACTCTCGGACTGCTTCCTTGTGTCTGCCTCTGGTGGCGTTTCTGTGGCTGCAGTCCCACCTTCAGCTGTTTCTGGAGGGCTCCCGAGTCATTCGGCAGTTGCTCGAACAGCTGTTTGGGAGTTTGAACTTCGCCACGCTAGTTTACCCGCCGGGTCGGGTTTGGTGTCGACTCTTCTGGTTTCCTCAGGGCCGTCCCTTCCACCACTCTTGTGATCGCTGGGTTCAACCTCCGGGGGCCTTGCATCGCCGGCTTCCTCTTTGGGTTTTTCAAGGTTCAGTACCGTGGTGCCTACCCGAGCCCTTGCTCAGTGTATTCATGAACGCTTCGTCTCTTGGCTGGGGCTTTGTGACCAGTGCTCACCAGGCCAGTCAGGGGCTGTGGATGCCATCATTCCAGTTTACTGAGGGGTATTTTGTGTATTAACAGTGTATAGTGTAGACACTGATAAAGAAGATCAAGATTGTTCACATTCACGATTGTTCTGCACCTAAACCTCTAACTTGCTCCTGCTTCTATCATCCCTGACTAGTACACCCAACTAAACATCAGCATACTATACATACACCCTCCCAAAGCTGGACCTCCCTATAAAAAATCCTTTTAAACAATGGACAAAATCCACCAATCTGAATTCTCTGCAGAAAATGTATATCTGAAGGAAAACCAGTGTTGAATGTAATAAAATGTCTCTTGCAGGGTGAGCCCCAATGGCTCCCTGTAGCTGTCCAAATTTGGCAGGAATCTGAATCCTCCTTAGAGCATGCCAAGAGGCCATAAACTTGAACACACTACTGTATTCACCTAATTGTGCTTGCAGGGGTTGAGCTCTGCTCTTTTGGCCCGCCTCTCAATTGTCAATCAATCAACTGTTACTAACTACTAATTCCCCCCCCCCCCCCCCCCGCCCCCCGCCCCCAGGAAGCAACCCGTAACAGCTGTCCAACTCCCAGGTACCTATTTACTGCTAGGTAACAGGGGCATCAGGGTGAAAGAAACTCTGCCCATCTGTTTTCGCCTAGTCCGGGAATCGAACCCAGGCCACAAGATTACGAGTCCTGAGCACTGTCCACTCAGCTACCAGACTCCTATGGTTCCATCAGTTGGAATGGACTTGGCCAGCCTGGTGAGTACTGGTCATGACACCTCAGCTGAAAACCAATGCAGCTGTAAACATGACATGAAGTGTTTATGGAGGAAGCCACCGAGGGAACAGAACCCTAAAAAAGCTGATAAAGCAGCTGGAAATGCAGCATCCAATGAAGGCTGATTGCAGTCTGAACCCAATGACTGCAGTAGTGGTGTAGGGGTGGAACTGGAGAAACCAGAACATCCCTCAAATCCACAACATCCCTCAAATCCACACCCTGCCCAGCAAAAAAAATCACCTGGGCATGGTTGAGGTGGCCACATTCCTATGGTGGTGTCCTGGCTGTTCCGGGTCCCAAAGTGGGACTCTGCAGATCTACAGTATATCCTTGATCTTTCAGGGTTTGAAAGCTTCATCCTCGTCTGACCTTCTGCATGACCATTTTGGCGCAAGTTCACCTGCTGTTATAGGCTGGAGCTTTAATAGAGTTCCTGGACCTTAAGGACATTTATTGGCACATCTCTATACATCTGAGTTCAGGGACTGGTTAGGTTTTGTTGTGGGACATCAGACTTACTGCTTCAATTTGAATCTGGCTCCCAGTGTGTTTACCAGGTTAGTTCAGGTTGTGTTTACCAGGTTCAGGTTGCTGTGGCCTTGCTTCATCTCGTAGAGAATCACTTGTTGGCCTACCTCCAACAGAGGGCCTGACGGCTGAGTGAACAGCACTCGGGATTCGTAGTCCTAAGGTTCTGGGTTCGATCCCCGGCGGAGGCGGAAACAAATGGGCAGAATTTCTTTCACCCTGTTCATCTAGCAGTAAATAGGTACCTGGGAGTACCTATAGTACAGCTGCTATGGGCAGTTTTCTGGGGATGTGTAACAAAAAGGAGGCCTGGTCAAGGACTGGACCGTGGGGACACTAAACCCCAAAATCATCTCAAGATAAGAATCATAGAGAATTTCAGCTGGCCAGGGAATTGATTCTTTCCTAGATTGCTGGGTTCTGTTTCCTGATGAACTAGAGGAAGTTTCAGTTGGTTCCATCCAAGGCTTGGACTTGGCTGGGTCTCATTTGGGACATGCGGTCAGTTTCTACATCTCTGCTTCTGGTGGCTTTGCTCTGCCTGCCCCTTCTCACCGTCTGGTGTTGAATTGGCCCAGGGTGACTTGCAGGTTGGTTGAGCGGTTGTGCAGGAGCCTGCAGGTTGGTTGAGCGGTTGTGCAGGAGCCTGCAGGTTGGTTGAGCGGTTGTGCAGGAGCCTGCAGGTTGGTTGAGCGTTTGTGCAAGAGCCTGAACTTTGCCTGCATTGTCTTTTCCCTGGGCAGGACTTGCTCAAGGCATTATATCAATTTTTCTGGTTCCTCCTACAGTATTTTGCCACTCCTGAGACTGGTGGGTGAGGGGCCCCACCCGCCCTTCATTGGCTTCCCCTTTGGGCTTCAAATTAACGGTGGTATAGTGGTAGAGTATGGGGCTGGCAATGCCTTGGTTGCAGGTTTGCATCGCCTCACAGCCCCCAGTGGATTTTCTCATTGATATATATCACGCTAGTGTGATTTTCTGTGTGCATCATTCAATATTGGGTTTCTGGTGTGGGTATTCTTATTAATCCCCAGCACTCTTTGCCTCTGATGGGGAAGGTGGTTCAGGTTTTGGCCCTGGTTTCCAGTAGGTCAACAGGATTTCTATAGCTGATGTGATTCAGGATGGGAAGCCATCTCAGTGAGATACATTCTGGGAGCCACTTGGACTCTACAAAGAAAAAGTATTTCATTACATTAAATACAGTAAGAATATTGTTAAAACAAAGATTTTAAATTATTTGCGAGTCCTTATTTGCAATCCTTTTTATAATATAATTCTGTGATATTCAATATATTATACTTTGTTGCTATTATCATCGACACATCTCTAAACCACACAGGCTGAGAAGTTTGGTGACTCGTTTGTACTGGAGGGGGAGTTATCAGAAGCAGTAAAATCTACAATACAAAATGCTGTTGCTGCTGCTCCATGGTGGCTTCCTGTGAAGGGAGCTGATTGGAGACATCCAGAAGGACCAGACTCTGATATCACTGGTAAGATATTTCTCTTGCACCACTGCTTTTTCTTATTTTCATATCAGAACAGAAAGCCATACAAGAGATAAAGAAAAAATCCAAAATATTTCAGCAACCAGGTGGCCTGGTCGACGACCGGGCCGCGGGGACGCTAAGCCCCGGAAGCACCTCAAGGTAAGGTAACCTGTAAAAAAAACCTCCTCAGTATTGGACTCATTCTTACAAGTGAAGGTTCATATACAGAGAACAGCAAAGAAATTATTGAAATTGTAAAAAAACAGTGTTAGGACATGTTTAGCACCTCAATAAACAGCATGAAAGTGGAAGATCTAGACAGCTTCTTTAAGCATGATGTCCAAACCACTGAAAATATAACTGATATACACACAAACTCTGCATATTTTGAAGGAGAAACTGACAACATGCCCATGCACTCAGCCCTGGGTCCAGACTCATAAAATTCAATATTTATAAAGAAATGCAAAGTGCCAGTAGTGCAAGCAATTAGTATAATGTGGGAAAAAACTTGAACACTGTGAGATAACATAAATGCTTAAATCAGTAATTATAGCTCCTCTATATAAGGAAGGGAGCAATGCATTGCCTAAGAATTATAGACCAGTCCCACTAATGTCCCACATAATAAGAGTTTTGAGAGTGAACAGGAGTCAGATATCCAGTTTTATAGAGACCAATGACTCCTACAACCCAGGTCAGCATGTATTTAGAGTGGGAAGATCATGCCTTTTCCAGCTACTTGACTACTTGATTCTGTATCAGTGACAGAATCACTGATACATTAGAAGAAAAACAGAATGCAGATGTGATACTGTATTCACAGACTTTGCAAAAGCATTTGATAAATGTGACAATGGAGTGATAGCCCACAAAATGAGATTAGTAGGAATAACAGGTAAAGTAGTGAGATGGATATTAAATTTTGTCAAACAACTCACAAAGAGTAACAGTCAATACAATAAAAATTGAATCCAACCACAGCAAAAAGCTGTGTACCACAGGGCACAGTCCTTGCACCTCTGCTTTTCCTTATTCTCATATCAGGTACAGGTATAGACAAAAATACAAGTTCCAGCTTCATGTCATCATTTGCAAATGACTAAAAAATCAGCATGAAAGTTACTTACGTAGAAAACTTTGAAAACTACAGGTTGATATTAATTAAGTTTTGATTTGGCTGCAGAAAATAACATGATGTTTAACAGCATAACTTCCAGGTACTTGTGTATGGAAAAAATTAAGACCTTAAAAGAAATGCAGTGTACAAGACACAATCAGACCTACTCATACAGTAGTCCTTTCTCTCTCTTAGCTTTTCCTATCAGATCGGTATTTCATGTCGAATACAACCCAGAACGTGTCGGTGGACATGTTCTGGGTTGACCCGGTTTCTCTGGTTCCCTGTTCAAGGCCTTGTGTATCTCAGGTTGTCCGCAGTGTCATCAAGTGAAGCCAGCCTGTGGTCTACCCTTGTGCCCATGATGTTAGGAAGTATGCCCCTCTTTCGGCTGTGTGGCAATATGTCTTGGGATTATATTTGGGCGCAGGGGTTTTGGAGGTCAAGCAGGGTCCTGGCTTCCAGGTCAGTGTTCCAGACCTTCTGTGGCCTTGTGTTGCTTTGGGGCACCTGTTGTGGCTGACTGTCTCTTTCTCGCATTGAGACCTGCTGTACTGCCACCTTCCAGGTAAGTCTCTCTTTCCTTCTCTGTGGGTAGTTAACTTTAGGGAGTTGACAGGACTTCCCACAGAAAACCAGCATTGAATGTAATGAAGCGCCAATTTTATTTCATTCTGGGTGAGCCCTGGAGGCTTGATGACACCCTCCCTCCCTCTGGTTGGTAGCTTTCATCTTTCAAGAACTGGATGGTGGGTGGCCTGGCTCACCTGGGCCGGCTCCCCCTTCCACCATGGGGGGATGGTATTAAAGAGTGGGGGCTTAGTTGAACAAATTGTTGCTTGTTTGTTTTTTTTCTGGGGAGTTTTTTTTTTTGCTATTTTGAGGATGTAGGTCACAATTTTCAACCAGTGATCCGTTTTGTTTCGCCTACCTTTCTGGGAGCCTTCCCTGGTCAATGGCAAGTATGATATACTTTAAATGTAAAGTGTTCATAGGTCATTGCTCCCTGCACCTCTCTGAGGGGGGCCAAGTTCTGGCTCGTGGTTCTCGGTAGGCAACAAGAATTCTGCGACTGATGACCCCAAATAATATAGCGCTATATCTGTATAGATAGTTTCAGAAAGTCTCCGGGGCTCGCCCAGAAACTGGCATTTCATTACATTTAATGCTGTTTATATATGACTACTTTTACTATATTTCATATTTTATTCCTTTATTTCTAGATCGTATGGATCACCCAGTTGTTCATGTGTCATGGAATGATGCAGTAGCTTTTTGCACATGGATGGGTAAACGACTCCCCACAGAGGCTGAGTGGGAACGTGCGTGCCGAGCTGGAAAACAGGAAAGGCTCTTTTCTTGGGGCAATAAATTTACTCCGAACAATCAGTACAGGTATTGGCTGCATATTCAATTTCAATAGATATATCTTAACTTTAGCAAATAAGTAACACAAATTTGCTGTTATTTAAGAATTTATGCAGTATTTACATGATGGTTGGATGTTACCTTTTTGAGAGGAGCCCTTTGGTAGTTTTCTCAAGCTATCGCTGAGATGGCTCCCCACTACTGGGTCACATCAGTCAAAGGAGTCCTGTTTGGCCTGTCAGGGACTCGAGCCAGAACCTGGCCCTCCTTACAGAGATTTTTCATAGTAGATTGTTAACATAATTCTCACTGGAAAACGTCATTGATGAATTTCAGATAACTGCAAGGGTTGATACGAGGCTGGTCACCTCATATTGTGGTTGCTGGCAGAGCCAGCTTGTGTTCTGGGTGGATGTCACTTCTGCCCCGTTTCGAAAGCGTTCTTGTGCTTTGTTTCACGAAAGCCTGAGCCGTCTTGGTCCTTGGACAAGGTGCTTTCTTTTGTCTTCCTCTCAGTTCGTGGTGGCCCCTTTGGTTCAAGATTGTTTTTCCAAGGCTTTCTTTCTGTTGGCATTGGCCTCTGGGAGTCGGGTTGGTGATCTTCATGCTCTCCTCCTGTGCAGGGGTTTCTGCTCTTTCGGTCTTGGTGGTAGGTTTGTTTGATTGCAGCCTTCCCCTTCTTTTCTGGCGAAGAACAAGATGACCGCTTTCTGGAGGGGCCCTTGGGTCATTGATGCTTGGTTGGTCAGGCCGGGGTAGCATCATGTGTTGTGTCTGGTTGCGGCTCTTCGCTGTTACTTGCGCACCTCGACTTCAGTGGCCAAGGATGTGCTTTGGGTTGATCTGGTTTCCCCCTCATTCCTTGTTGCAGGGCTCAGGTCTTCCAGGTTGTCCGCTGGGTCATTAAGTCTAGCCAGCCTGCAGTCTATCCTCATGCCCACAACGTTCGTAAGTTTGCTGCTTTGATTGCTGTCTTTGGCAATATGTCCTGGGCTGACATTCAGGTGCAGGAATTTTGGAGGCTGAGCAGGGTCTTGGCTGTGCGTTATCTCATCAACGTTCCTGGTCCTAGTCATCCTTGTGTGGCCTTGGGTCGCAGGTTGCAGACAGTTGTCTCGACTTTGAGTTGAGGAGCGAGTGGAGTCTGCCTCCCTGGTAAGTCCCCATTTCCTTCTTTTTGGTTATGTGGCTCCAAGGAGATGTAGGGGCTCCCCTCAGGAAACCAGTGTTGAATGTAATGAAACACCATTTTCTAGATGAGCCCCAGAGGCTCCCTGGCAACCTTCCCTCCCTCCCTCCGGTTGGTGGTTCTGTTTCCTTTTTGATGCTCAACCTCTGGACTGGATGGCTTGGGTATCCAGGGTGGTAGCTTGGGTTTGGTAGATGGCTTGGGTAGCCTGTATAACATTCTGGATAATGTGTGGGAGTGCACAGCTGACTGGTGGAAAATTAGTCACTCTCCAAATCTTCAAACTAATCCAGTATGTCCTTGATCCTTTCTTCCATCATCTCTGGGGGCCCCAAACCCCAGGGGATCCGGGGCTCTCCCCTCCTGCAGGGCCATTACTCCCTGTGCCTCTCTGAGGGGGGCCAGGTTCTGGCTCGTTGTCTCCGGTTGGCTAAACTCGTAGACTAATGCCCTGGTCTAATGTATTGCATATTAGCCCGATAGCTCCAGGGTGCCTCTGGGGTTCACCAAGAAAATGGCATTTCATTAGATTCAATGCTAGTTTTTTGTAGTCTGGAATGGATTAATCAAACTTTCTTTATGGGAAATGTTTTTTCAGTAGTCGAACGGCCTTCAGAAACCAGTTAAGTTCAACATATTGAGGTTCCACAGTGCTCATTTAATTAAAACAATAACCAATGGATTAAACCAGTAACCAATGCATTAAAACATTAAACAATGCAATAAAACAATAAACACACTATGCATTTAAAAAGTAAACACTTAGTGTATTAAAACAGTAAACCAGATATTATCAATTTGATGAATATTTTGAATATTTTATAGCAAGGATTAATAAACATCAATAGAATTTTCCTTGTCTACCAATAATAAGTTAATTACTTAGGAGACTAATACATCTTACATTGCTCACAGGGCAAACATATGGCAAGGAACCTTTCCCAATGAAGACACAGGAGACGATGGGTGGGCGGGTCGTTGTCCAGTGACTGCTTTCCCTCCTAATGGCTATGGCCTGTATAACATCCTGGGTAATGTGTGGGAGTGGACAGCTGACTGGTGGAAAATTAGTCATTCTCCAAGTCTTCAAACTAATCCAGTATGTCCTTGATCCTTTCTTCCATCTGATAATAGTAATAACTAATTTGTGTCCATTGGACAGTTTAGCCAGTATACATACTAATATTTGTCCTCATTATATGACTGAATACCCAAATATATTTGTATCTTTATTTTTTATAATATGGTCACTACCTAATCAATTTTACTAAATAATATTTAATTGCATTCTCATATTATTAGTAGTAATAATGATAAAATCAGTAGGGAGAGAGGCAGACCGGGTCAACTGGCTGCTCCACTATCATTTCTTATGATGATGGAAACCACCCTGATGCCCTGGAAGTAGGGAGGATGTCAGGGAGCCACTGGGGCTCTCCCAAAAATTGGCATTTTATTATATGTTTTTCAAACAACAAGAAATTTAAACAGGAAAATGAAAGGAACAGTGCAGATGCTGAAGCGATCATACCAGTCTGAGGAATTGGAACAGAGAGCTATAAAAGAGATAACAAAAGTCCAAAATATTTTTTTACATATGCAAAATCAAAATAAAAAACTCCATTATTATAGGACCTATACAGTACTTACAACTGAAGGTTTGTACACAGAGGATGACAAAGAAATTAGTGAAAGTAGTGAAATGTTTAGCTCACCAATAAACAACATGAAAGTTGAAGATCCTTGAATGACACCTTAACCACTTAACTGCGCCAACCGAGTATTCTCGGTCGGCGGGAAACTGCGCCAACCGAGAAAACTCTTTTTGATTTTTCCGTACCCATTCTAAATGTGTGCGAGGTTGGTTGTGTACGAAATGGACTCTTAGGACCTCCAGTGAGAGGCAGCCATCTTGGAAAAAATTCCCAGAATGCCCTAGGGCTGCTGGCTGGGTTAGTACTGAGTGAGCAACCATGGGTGGCGCACGCGCCTCTGGCTCCCAAACACCTGTCCGACGGGGTGTTGAAAGATCGCGCTCTGTCAGTGAAATTCAAACCTTATTGTTTGAAGAACATAAGGATCATAATATTGGTGAAGCTAGGCGCAATAAGGACCTAACACAAAGGTCGGATGCAAGTGATACAGCACCTATGAGGACGATACAGCGAGCGTATCCAGTTGTAGCTCTGAGCGTCACCCTTGCAATCCTATGCTATCTCCAATTTATTTAGATGATACATAGATGAATCGTTTTCTGCATTCAGTGATGATGCATCTGATACAAGTAGCATAGATGAACAGTGTTATCGGCTTCCATGGTGGTGTTTTCCATAGATATTTTCAAGAATAGTTGAATCTCTTCCAGACTGACACTCTTTGAGGCTAACTGAATCTCTTCCTGACTGATGGACACTCTTTGAGGCTAGATAAATCTCTTCCAGTTTTGGACCTTACAAAGAGATCTTTTCAAGACTACCTTACAAATTGATCTTTTCCTATAATCTTTTCAATACTTCCTTATGCTGTACAAGCTTGGCTACATACAACCTACAAGTACTAATGCCAAGGGTGTATGTGAGTGCGTTATTTGCAAGCACACAGAATGAAGAAACAGGAAGCGAAAATTTATCTGTACCTGGTGCAACGAGAGCGAAGTCGCGCTGTGTACCATGGACTACTTCGTTGATTATTACTCACTTCCGAAGTACTGAGTGTGTAATACAGTGTGTTACTGTGTAAATAGTGTGTGAAACTGTACATATTGTAATTTTAGTGAATTTTTAACAAGTAATATTGCGACAATAAACATTTATTGTGGACACATTACTGACACATGTATCACAGTTCCATGGAACATTATGAACGTTCTACTGTATACATATTGTAAAGGACACAAATATGCATCATATACGATAAAAAAACAAATAAAACCGCATTGGAAATACATAAAACAAATAATTGAAAATATATTTGTGGCAACACCCAGTGCTTGAATGGCCCGCGCGACCGTGTCTGGGCGATTCACGCACGGGCGACCAGGCCCTGATGACGTCACAGCGCACCTTGTCCACGTCCCCACAGCCAAAGTAAGTGGAATTTGGTATTTATTTTTACATAGACATGTTCAGGGAAGGGAATTTATCATTTTACGAAGAAAAAATAATTTTTTGGGAACACTTTATTTCATGCGCACCGGGGGAATTTCACAATAAACTCGGCGCAGCACGGTGGTTAATAGTCAGCTGTCACAGGCTGCTTCCTGGGGGTGGAGGCCTGGTCGAGGACCGGGCCGCGGGGACACTAAGGCCCCGAAATCATCTAAAGATAACTTCAAGATAGCATGGATTTAGTGGGAAGATCCTGTCTTTCACAGTTACTCAACCACTATAACAAAACTACAGAAGCATTATAAGAAAAACAAAATGCAGATGTTGTATACACAGACTTTGCCAAGGTATTTGATAAGTGTGACCATTGAGTGATAGCCCATAAAATGCAATCAATTAGAATAACAAGTAAAATGGAACATTGGATTTTCAACTTTGTCAAACACAATGCAAACAGTAACAGTCAATCAAATAAGATTAAGTCCAAGTGCAGTGAAAAGCTCTGTCCATGCACCACTGCTATTTCTCATTCTTATCTTGGATATAAACAAAAATACTGTACTAGTCACAGCTTTGTATCATCCTTTGCACATGATACAAAACTCAGCATGAAAATTTCCGTTGTAGAAGACACCGAAAAACTACAGACCAATATTAATAAAGTCTTCGATCAGAGTTTGGCTCTGTGCTTGGCCAGAGTTTGGCTCTGTGCTTGGCCAGAGTTTGGCTCTGTGCTTGGCCAGAGTTTGGCTCTGTGCTTGGCCAGAGTTTGGCTCTGTGCTTGGCCAGAGTTTGGCTCTGTGCTTGGCCAGAGTTTGGCTCTGTGCTTGGCCAGAGTTTGGCTCTGTGCTTGGCCAGAGTTTGGCTCTGTGCTTGGCCAGAGTTTGGCTCTGTGCTTGGCCAGAGTTTGGCTCTGTGCTTGGCCAGAGTTTGGCTCTGTGCTTGGCCAGAGTTTGGCTCTGTGCTTGGCCAGAGTTTGGCTCTGTGCTTGGCCAGAGTTTGGCTCTGTGCTTGGCCAGAGTTTGGCTCTGTGCTTGGCCAGAGTTTGGCTCTGTGCTTGGCCAGAGTTTGGCTCTGTGCTTGGCCAGAGTTTGGCTCTGTGCTTGGCCAGAGTTTGGCTCTGTGCTTGGCCAGAGTTTGGCTCTGTGCTTGGCCAGAGTTTGGCTCTGTGCTTGGCCAGAGTTTGGCTCTGTGCTTGGCCAGAGTTTGGCTCTGTGCTTGGCCAGAGTTTGGCTCTGTGCTTGGCCAGAGTTTGGCCCCCCTAGTATTGTGCCTACTTTACTCCTGTGGAGAGTTCAGATTGTAAATCTTTAACCTGTACAGTAAAGGTTTATAGCCTATCCCTAAATTATTTTGTTATTAACAGCAGGGTGCAAGGTCTGGTGAAGACAAGGTCAAGAAGGGAGGATCATACATGTGCACCAAGGAGTACTGCTACAGGTAATGTTCTTTTGTGGCATTTACTGTTAATTACAATAAAATTATAGCACTCTTCCATTATTTTTACATGTATTGCATATCTAAATCTCTTTGAAATAAAAATCATTGCCAATTAATAGATCCAATTATATACAATTACTTAGCCCTTAGAGAGCAGTTATTGTCAAACGTCGATTCACTGGATAATGGGCTTATTGTCATTGTTAATTTAAAATATTGTTCTCTTGGTTTTACATGTATGATAATAATATGGATATAATAGCTCTTGGTAGATGTAATAGAGCTTAATTTGACACCTAAAAATATCCTGCTATCGTTTCATAATTACCTTACTATTTGAATGTAGTTATCATCATGTTACTATGCGAATGTGATAATCGTCATTGTTTAAAATTCCATAGTAATTACATGATATGTATACCAATTATGTTCATATGGCAATCACAATTTTATAAATGTAATGAAGTATACCAGGTCATCCAATCATCATTTGAACATAATAATAAAGGAACTACAGCAGGCTTATTGGCCCATATGAGGCAACTCCTGTTTACATCAGTATTAATTATTATTAATAGGAGCTGTCTTGTGTGGGCCAATACAAGGTAACTTCTATTTACACACAGAAATCACAATTGCGTGATGCATCAAATGAACAAACCCACAAGGGCCGTGACGAGAATTCGAACCTGCGTCCGAGAGCATCCCAGATGCTGCCTTAATCGACTGAGCTACGACATGGTCTAAAGGAGTTGAAACCGAAGTTCTACTGAACTTACTGGATCCTGCAGCCTCTCCAAGGCACAAACCAGGGTTTTACACAACTCCCCCCATGCACTTGAGCTATGTCAATAGGCCGTTCTCCCTCTTCGCCCTTACTGCATTACACACAGAAATCGTACTTCATTACACACAGACATAGCTCGAGTGCATGGGGGGAGTTGTGTAAAACCCTGGTTTGTGCCTTGGAGAGGCTGCAGGATCCAGTAAGTTCAGTAGAACTTCGGTTTCAACTCCTTCTGGCCATGTCGTAGCTCAGTCGATTAAGGGAGCATCTGGGATGCTCTCGGACGCAGGTTCGAATCCTCGTCACGGCCCTTGTGGATTTGTTCATTTAACTTCTATTTATATTTATATAAATAAGAGCTCCCTCATTTGATCTAATAGGATTAATTGAGGCAGCTCCTATTTATATCAGTATAAATATGGGTTGCCTTGAATGGGCCCATATGAGGCAGTTCCTATATATATTGATATAAAGCAGAGCAGCCTCACATGGGCCTATTTATATCTAAGAATTGACAACTGACTTGAGAATGGTCCAAGACGGACTGAACGTCGTCGTCCCTTCACTTTCTAGTGTGTTGTTTGGTCAACATATTTATATCTATATTGCTTCCATTATACATACGATTGATCATTTAGACATCCAAGGTTAGTATGTTGAGAATATGTGGCTTGGGGGCAGTGTATTTCACTGACAGTTCTCGCGGTGACAGATGAGGCAGGTGCCATGGGCCACTACTCCCTGAATTTGTATGTATCTTGTGTAATTTAATTTCCTAAGTGTAGTCACAGGATGAGAGCTATGCTCATGGTGTCCCCTCTTCCCAGTACTCTTTGTCAAATAATGCTTTGAAACTACTGAGGGTTTTGGTCTCCATCACCTTCTCACTTAACTTGTTCCAACCGTCTACCTCTATGTTTGCAAAAGAAAACTTTCTAACAAAATTTCAGCACCTTTGTCTCCATAACTTGAATCTGTATCCTCTTGTTCTTGAAGTTGCTGGTTTCAGAAATTCATCTGTCAATTTGGTTGATTCCTATTATTTTGTATGTGGTGATCATATCACCTATTTCTGTTGGGAACCCTGTCGGCTCCCTGAAGCTATCCCACTGATATAGTGCTATCCTATTTGGGGGTCATCAATCACAAAGTACTTGTTGCCTACCAGGGACCAGCACCAGAATCTGCCCCCCCCCCCCTCCTCAGAAAGGTGCAAGGATCAGTGGCCTATGAATACTTTACATTTAAAGTATGTTATACTTGCCATTGGCCAAGGAAGGCACCCAGAAAGATAGGCTAAACAAAACAGACCACTGTCTGGTTGAAAATTGCAACCTACAACCTCAAAAGAGCAAAAGAACTCCCCCAGAGAGAAAAGAAACAAACAATTCTTTGTCCAAATAAACCCCCCCCCCCCTCCTTGCTTGTTAGTGCCACACCAGGTAGGGGGAACTGGCCCAGGTGAGCTGGGCCACCCACCCTTCAGTTCACCCCCAAATACTAGTCCCTAAAACTTAAGTAGGGCAGCTCTGGGGCTTCCAAACGGGCAACCAGCCTGGTACATTGCAACACTGAGAAATGCCTATGCAATGCAGCCCCTGCCTGATCTCACATAATATCAGAAGAGGGATGGGTGAATTGGAGGACAAGTGGGAAACAAGTCCCGCAAGACTGCAGGTTGTAGGTATCCTCGATCCTACAGGCAGCATGGCGGAGGCAGAAAGGATGATCGTCACCCTGAGGTACAGGCGACGAGCAACCCTAGAATTCGCACAAGGCAGGAGCGAGCTCAAAAGAGGGATCCTCTTGGGAGCATAGCCAAGCAAACATTGCGTCAGCCAGAAAAATGATAGGATGGATTACGAGAACCTTCAAATCCAGAGATCCCATCACAATGGTTGCACTCTTCAAATCACTTGTGCTGTCCCGGCTTGAGTACTGCTCAGTGCTCACTTTCCCCTTCAGAGCAGGAGAGATTGCTGAAATAGAGGGAATACAGAGAATATATACGGCATCCATAGACACGATAAAGCACCTAAATTATTGGGATCATCTCGAAGCTCTCCAAATGTACACACTAGAAAGGAGATGAGAGAGATATCAAATAATATATACGTGGAAAATACTGGAGGGCCAGGTCCCAAATCTGCACAGTAAAATAACAACGTACAGGAGTGAACAATATGGAAGAAAATGCAGAATAGAACCAGTGAAGAGCAGGGGTGCCATAGGCACAATCAGAGAACATTGTACATTATAAACATCAGAGTTCCACGGTTGTTCAACATCCTCCCAGCGAGTATAAGAAATATTGTCGGAACAACTGTGGACATCTTCAAGAGAAAACTAGATAGTTTTCTTCAAGGAGTGCCTGATCAACCGGGCTGTGGTGGGTATGTGGGCCTGTGGACCGCTCCAAGCAACAGCCTGGTGGACCGCTCCAAGCAACAGCCTGGTGGACCAAACTCTCACAAGTCGAACCTGTCCTCGGGCCGGGCTTGGGGAGTAGAACAACTCCCAGAACCCCATCAAGCAGGTATCAAGCAGGCATCCATAGTATATCGAGCCACCTGGGGATTTCCAGGGTTTGCAGGGTACACGAGCGCTACACGAACCCCAGGCACTGGGGCTAACTAAGCTGGTTACATCTGACCCGACTCTGATCACCCCGGGAAAGCCCCTGGGGTCACAAAGGAGGACCATCACCTACACCCTAGGCGCTGCCTTATCAGGTGAAAGGCAGAACTCCTCTGCCATAAAGGCAATACAAAAGGCCAGCAAATATAATAAAAATCACACTAACACCCTTGAAACCCCTCCCCCTGACAGTAAAACTAGCATTCGGAGAAAAACCCTGCGGGGGGGGGGGGGGAAGCCAACAAGCCAACAAGCCAACAAGCATGGGGTTAGTTGGGCAAAGTTTTTTTTCTTTTTTTTTTGTGAGGGAGTTCTTTTGATATCTTGAGGACGTAGGTCACATTTTTCAACCAGATAGTAGTCTGTTTCAATTCATCTACCTTTCAGGAAAATGGCAGGATGATAAACACTCCCTGCACCTCTGTGAGGGGGCCAGGTTCTGGCTCTGATCCCCGGTAGGCATACAAGAACTCTGCGACTGATGACTCCAAATAGTGTGGCACTTAATCAGTATGCTAACATCAGGGAGCCAACGGGGTTCCCCACAGAAAATCCCAACTTCTCCATGTCACTACAACTAAACCACAATATACAGAGACTTTTTACTTGGATTTTTATGTTTCCTGGAGTTAACAAAGTTCAAAGAAAAAAAATCTGATTTTTTTTTCTTGCACACCATGGGGATGTCAGCATTTGGTTATGCTGTTCAAGGGTTAAGGGCAAGGGCCCCCCCCCTCAAAGGAGGAGGGGCCCCCCCTAAAAAGAGCATATCCCGAACGCCACAGGGAAGATAACCCTAACTGCGGAAGGGGAGTACTCCAAGAGCACACACAGAAGAGAACCCTGTGCACATGCAGCTCCAGGTATACAATAACTTCTGGCTCATGCTATGCAACTGCATATAAACAGCCTGAGAGCAGTGTTACCAAAACGCTACACGTACTCGCCTAGTTGTGCTTGCAGGTGTTGAATTTTGGCTTTTTGGTCCTGCCTCTCAACAGTCAATCAACTGGTGTACAGATTCCTGAGCCTACTGGGCTCTATCATATCTACATTTGTAACTGTGTATTGAGTCTGTCTCCACCACATCACTTTCTAATGCATTCCATTTGTTAACTACTCTAACACGAAAAAATTCTTTCTAACGTCTCTATGGCTCATTTAGGTACTAGGTTTCCACCTGTCTCCCTTTGTTCGTGTTCTGCCCGTGCTAAAGAGTTTGTCTTTGTCCACCCTGTCAATTCCCCTGAGAATTTTGTAGGTGGTTATCATGTCTCCCTTTACTCTTCTGTCTTCCAGGGACATGAGTTTCAGCTCCTTTAGCCTTTCCTTGTAGCTCATACCTCTCAGTTCCGAGACGAGTCTGGTGGCATACCGCTGAATTTTCTGTTAGTGGTTGTGCGAGAATAGCAGCACACAAATGTAATGGACACCTACAAATCCAACGTACTTCCTGTAGAGAAGGAAGTAACGAAAGAATGAAAAAAAAAAAAAAAGAGCTGAAGCTGTGAATGGAAACAGCTGGAACACAGTTGGGCTCCATAAAACTCAATCAGGCTACAGAATCCAACAAGGCAGCCCTGTCTCAAAGGCCCTAAGCAACCACTAAGCTGAAATTTCCGCAAACCATTCAGTGGTTTGTTTTGGTTCTCCTACCTTTCTGGGTGCTTTGCTGGTGGTGGCATTTATGTTAAACTTCAAATGTAAAGTTTTTATAGACCATCACTCCCTGCGCCCCTTTGAGGGGACTGGGGTTCTGTCAGTGTCACTGGTAGGCCAATAAAAATTCCTGCAACTGATGGCACCTGAAGCATACAGCAGATGTATGGTTCCCAAATCTCAAGAAGCACATAAATAAACTGGAAAAGGTGCAATGGCACGCTACAAAATGTATTCCAGAACTGAAAAACAAGAGTTATGAGGAGAGACTAGAGGCGTTAAACATGCCAAAACTAGAAGACAGAAGAAAAAGAGGTGATATGATCACCACTTACAAAATACTACCAGGAATCAACTAAATTGACAAAGCAGAATTCCTGAAACCAGGAACTACACAAACAAGAGGACACAGATTCAAGCTAAGGGAACAAAGTTGCCCAAAAAATATTAGACAGTTTTCTTTTGCAAACTTAGTAGACAGTTGGAACAAGCTAAGTGAAAAGGTGGTGGAGGCCAAAACAATCAGTAGTTTCAAAGTGTTATAAGATAGAGTACTGGGAAGATGGGACACCACAAACATAGTTTTCATCCTATAACTACACTTAGATAATTACTGATCAGTGTATGATAGCTTCAAGAAGCTGATGGGGCTCCCCCCCCCCGAAAAGACAAGTTGGATAACGAGAACCTTCCTAACAAGAGATGCCATGCCAATGATGATGGTTTTTAAGACATTAGTGGCTCTCTAGAGTGGAATATTGTTGCACAATAACAGCCCCATTCAAAGCTGGAGAAATTGCTAACCTGGAGAATGTGCTAAGATCTTTTACTGCTAGAATCCACTCTATAAAACATCTAAATTATTGGGACCGACTAAAATTGTTAAAACTGTATTCTCTAGAGCGCAGGCGAGAAAGAGATACATATTTTTCAGATTTTCACCTGGAAAATATTAGAGGAACTTTTTCCAAATCTGCACATGTAAATGACATGACATGAGACCAGGAGGCATGGCAGGATGTGCAAAATAGCCCCATTGAGAAGCAGAGGCACAATAGGTATACTAAGAGAGAACTCTTATCAACATCAAAGACCCAGAAATTTTCATCGCATTCCCTCAACACACAAAGGACATAAGTGACCGACCACTCATGGTGTTCAAGAGAGAACTCAATAAACACCTCCAAAGGATACCTTATCTACCAGGTTATGATTAATACGTCAGGCTGCGAGCAGCCGCATCCACCAGCCTGGTTAACCAACCCGCCGACCAGGAGGCCTGGTCAGAGACTGGACTGCAGGGACATTGATCCTCTGAATCATCACAGGGTAAAGTTGCCTCTTCCTCCCCCCCCCCCCACTTTTCCCTAACATTCAATCCCACCTTTCTCTTGCAGTCCTCCTCAACATTCCCCTTCCATTTCCTTCCCCATTTTCCCTTTCCATTCCCACCCCATCTTCCCTTTCCATTCCCATCTCATCTTCCCTTTCCATTCCCATCTCATCTTCCCTTCCATTAACTCCCTCTTCCACATTAATTCACCCTCCCTATGTTCACATATTCCCTTCTCCATCTTCTCCTCCCTCTATTCTTTTCTGTTTCTTGTACTTGCAGTCATTGCGATGTGAGTTAATTTACCTTGGTTATGGCACTTTATTTTAGGATAAAGGATAAAAACACAGTGCAGTAGATAAGAATTAATAAAGTTAATTTGAGAATTACAGGTATATTTTTTTCCCCACAGATATCGATGTGCTGCAAGGAGCCAAAACACCCCAGATAGCACAGCTGGAAACCTTGGCTTCAGATGTGCTGCTCATAACCTTCCAGATTACCTCAAGAAATAATAATAGGAGTTTCTAAGTTGTCTCTTTCTTCTAACTAGGGATTTTTTCAAGATTCCCTACTTTCTAGGTACATATCCTATTCTTCCATATTTGTAGGTGATTTAGTATACAGTAGATTCTACCTAGGTTCTACCTACCTAAAATACCAAATGTCACCACCAGGGTCCCGATCTGGACCCTTGGATGTCCATGGATTCTTCTTGGTGTTTTGTAAATACCAAGAAGGATCGTATGTTCACAGGAGAAGGGTTCCCTTATCTTCCTGATCGGTATGAGTTTGATTTGACAGCAGCTTTTCCAAGGGCACGCTTCTGTGTGCTATTCAATCCTGTGGATTCATCTTTGCAGAGGTTTCCCTCTTTCTAAGTCTCCACTTCAGTTGGTCGTGAAGGTATTTTGCATTATCTCTTACAGAACCTTGCTTCCATGATGGACCCTGGTTCCTTTGAATTCGGGTTAGCATTACTTTTTTGGCGTTGTTATAAGGTTCTGGATTCATCCTGGGGACATGGCAGGGGTTCTGTTATGCCTGTATGCTTGAATGGCGTAAAGTGCTTAACGCTCTTCAGGTGTTCTTGGTTGACACTCCTTATTCCCAGCTCGAGCACTGCTTATTTGCTCCTGCTCTTCCCCAAGGATGTGGGTAAGTGGCAGCTTCACATTCACCTGCTAGTGCTGTCCTCTGCCCTTATCACAGATCACGGGGCTCATATGCACTTGGCAACAGTCATGCATTTTTGGGCTCTTGTGGAGCTTATTCTCCGATCAGGGGCCAAATTCACGAAACAGTTACACAAGTACAGTACTTACGAACGTGTACATCTTTCCTCAATCTTTGACGGCTTTGGTTACATTTATTATACGGTTTACAAGCATAAAAACTTCTCAATCAACTGTTGTTATTGTTATAAACAGCCTCTTGGTGCTTCAGAGCTCATTAACTGTTTAATAATTGTAAACAAAGTCGCCAAAGATTGAGAAAAGATATACAGGTTCGTAAGTGCTTGCATAACTGCTTCGTGAATCTGGCCCCAGCTCCGTGAGGACGTGGACTCACTTGGTTTGATTCCAGGTGTGGAGGGTTTGACATCTGCAGTGCCAGCGACCTTGCCCAAGATGCCTTCTCCCTTCCTTTGAAAGGTGGTGGCAGCATTTTACGCATTTTGCCTCACATGTCAGCAGGCCCTCCTTGATCATTGTTTAGATATGGCTTGGTCCTTAGCCCTTTTATCTGCTGCTGCTTTTTTTACCTCTCCTCTTTCCTGAGGACATTGTTGTCTAGTTTTATCAATGGCGGCTTCTTTCTGCAGTCTGATTTCCCAACTTGGTTTGTGTATCCGAGGAGATGGTTGGCAACCATCTCCTTCTTTTCTGGTGAAGAATAAGTCATTGGGCTTCTGGAGATATCCATTGGTCATTGATACTTGGTTGATTCAGCTGGGGGATACATGATTTGTTGAGTCTGTTGGTGATTTTTTGTTACCTGTGTGCCACCGCCTCAGCCTTGGAGCATGCTCTTTGGTTTGATCCAGTCTCCTTGGTCCCCTATTCCAAGACTCATATTTTTCAGGTTGTCTGCAGTATCATGAAGGCTAACCAGCCTGCAGTTTATCCATGGGCCCATGATGTTTGCAAATACGCTGCACTTGTAGTGGTGTTCTGTAATATGTCTTCAACGGATATTTAGGCTCGTAGATTTTGGCAGACTAATATGGTCATGGCGGCCAGGTATTTAGTCATTGTCCCTGGTCGTCCTTGATCCTGTGTTGTTCTGGGTCATGTTCCCGATCATTGGTCTTGATTTCGTCTTGGTGCCTGCTGCCTTTTCCCCTCTCCGGTAAGTCCCTCTAATTTTCTCTGTAGTTATTTAGCTACAGGGAGCCACCAAGAGACTTCCCCAGAAGCCCAGCATTGAATGTAATGAGACACCCTCTCTCTCTCTGGTAGAGCCTTGGTGGCTACCTGTCTCCCTCCCACGTTCATCAGTTCATGACAGTGTTCATCAGCTCCTGAACTGATGTGTGGGCTGACAGTGGACTGATCACCAGGCCACCTGGCGGTGGCATTCAGTACTGTCAAGTTTTAGCTAGTTTTGTGTTTGCTTTTGTTTATTTTTTGTTTTGGGTTTTGAGTACTGGGAACCCAACTGTTGCTTGTAAAGCTTTGCTGACTTTCTGGATGCTTTTCCAGTGAAATGGCTGAATGTCATTTGTTCCTGTGCCTCATGTGAAGGGGGCCAGGCTATGGCTCTGGTCCCTGGAAGACCAAATGAGCTCATGCAACTGATGTGACTGATAGATTGCAGCAGTCTCAGTGAAATAGCTACAGGGAGCCACTGTGGCTCCTCCAGAAACAGACATTTCCTTACATTCAATGCTGGATTTTCCCTGTCAGTATTTATGCAAAGAACTACTTTGTTATTCAGCCTGAATTCCTAACTATTTTTTTTTTTTGTTTTTTTTTATTTTATATTTTTCAACACTTTAGTTCACTCTTGCATTTGTGATTAAAGCTTTGGATGGAGATGACATTCATCACTTCTTTCAATGCATTCCACTTTTTTTACTACTGTTTGTCCCTCATATAGTATAAGTATTTTCTTCTGTCTCTGACTCATTTAACTTTCATCCCTATGCTCTTGTTCTATTATTCCCTCATTTGGACCATGCTGTACATGTCGACTTTGTCTTTTTCCTTTGTTATTTTACAGTATGACTTTATCTTTTCTGTCCCATCTCCCCTCTAATGGTAGCTAGATTGATTTCCATTCATCAGTTTACATAGATTAGCTCTTATTTCAGACAGCAACTTTGATATGAATTGCTGGACATGCTAATTATTTTATACATAATAAGATAAGAAATCTATGCTGGTGCTATGTATTTTCAAATTGGCTGTGTATATAATCTTAAGTGAATCACTGTTAAGCTCTTAAAAGCCTTTTGTATGTTTGGTAATTTTCCATCTGTTATTGTTATTGACCAAGGCCGGAGGTAAATAATGTACAATACTTGATTTCATTTTCCTCAGCTTTAATTGACTTGGTTTCCTACATGATATCTGAAATAACACAAATCAAAGGTATCAGGAGGGAATTACAAAATCCTCATAATAATGAACTCTACAAAATGAGACAAATGAATATAATCTAATGAATAAGATATTTTTAAAATATCACATTCTTTCTTCCTTCTGATTGTTTGCTAATAGTAAGTAAACATAGCAGATAACTTAAATCAATACTTCTCATCAGCACACTAATTACATAATCTTAATCCCAGCCATAACAATCAGGAGGCCTTGGCAACCGGGCAGACTTTCTGGGGTCTCTCTGGAGAAAGTAGATCATTGTCACTGAGCATTAGCATTGCTCAGTGACAATGCTAATATGCAGAGGATTAGCATTGTATCCTATCTGCTAATTCACTATCTTAAATACCAAGTGTAGTTAGGGAGCCCATCCTTCCTGTCCCAATGTCATGGACTGGAGAGGGTCGATTCTTGTGATTATGCCCTCATGATTATCATCATGATGTTGCTTCATGGGAGTATCAGACCCACTGGACATTGATCATGGATAGATACTGTAGAATGGCATCCATCTGGATACGTAATGTTTACATAAGTTGGATTTTCATCAATGAGCTCAACCTGATCAACTAGGGGGTTAGTCTTATTAGACCGAACAAAACATCGAAGTAGCACTGGACCAGGAGACATAAGCCACAATATCAATGGACTTCCATGTGTTGAGCATCACTGAAATCTAAAAAAATGCTCATATGGGGGTTGTATTGGTTGAGGTAGATAAAAAAAAAAAAAGAGATCTAATGGAGTGTAATGCATTTGGAAGCACCAGTTCCCAATGATTTTCTGCTAGATTGTGTAACTTTAATGTTAAATGTAGAGCCTTCCATATGATACGGTTATACCGTTCGACCTGTGTGATTCCTGTGGGGTGGTGGGGCATTGTCCTGCTTGTTGCAGTGCACTTTTGAGAAAGTTATGCCTTGAGCTCCTAGGACATAAAGGAGGTACCTCTGTCTGAATGGATAAAGTTAGGCATTCCACAAAGGTTAAATATTGCTTTAAGGCAATATTAGGATTAGCATTGGATTATCACAGTCATTATGTGCATGTTAGGGCATGGAAATGCAAAGGAAAATGTGAATACTTATCAATGACTGTTAGCATATAAGGATTATGGGTCACTGATGGTAGTGGCCCCTTTAAATCAATACTGAATCGCTCCATAGGTCGAGTCTCCCAACCACTTGGACTGACTACCAACTCACTTCATGTAGGTCAGCGTTCAATCCCTGACCGTCCAAATGGTTGGGCACAATTCCTTCCACCACACCCTAGGTATAGCTTAATGAAGATCCAGGCAGAACTCTGCAAAACCAGGCAAAAACTTCAAACAGAGAAAGAAAACAATAAAACCCACGAAACTCTCCAACTGCCAACGAGCAGTCGGAAAGAAATGTCGGCTGCCACGTGATAGCTTAAGCAGGCTGCGCCAGCTGCAGTGTGCCCCACAAGCAAACACACACTCACCTACCCAGGGTAAGGCAGAAAGCCCAAGACTCCAAAATGCAACCAAAGGACGAGGACAACTACAAGCGAGAAAGTCCTCTAACGGGGAGTGATTCCCGAATGCCCCAGGGAAGATAACCCTGACCATGCAAGGGCAGTACTCTCGGAGCACCTAGGGTAGGTAGCCCTAGACGCATGCAGCTCTGGTACCCAGGAACTCCAGGAAAACACACACCACAAGTGCAGGAACAGCCGTACAAGGCAAAATCCCAAAACAGGAAAACATGGCCCGAGGTGACATCCGACTGCCAGCACATCAGTCAAGAACTGAAGGGTGGGTAGCCCGGCTGACCCTGGCCGACTCCCCCTCCCCTTGTCGGGGGGGGGGGGGGGGGAATGTTTGTGGCGCCAACGAGCGGGGGGTCTAGCTGGACGAAGATTTGCTTGTTTGTTTTCTTTCTGGGGGAGTTTTTTGCTGTTTTGAGGCCATAGGTCTCAATTTTTACCAGATAGTGTTACTTTTCATACTTCCTTTTGCTTCTTTAAATCTATTCTCATAAAGGAAAGTTCGGCTCTTTGTATTATATTTGTAAATACAGTATTGATGAGTATCTCTTAACTTCTTCTTTTGTAACTAGGCCAATCCTATGGTTTTTTTCATATTGTGTTTCTTGTTAATTGCTTTAAGTATGCCACTTGTGAGCCATGGGTTGTTTAATCCTTTAGCAGTTACTTGCTTTGTGAGGAGAGAACAGTGAATATTGTAGAGGCTTAGAGTTTTGGAGAGAAAGATGTTGGCTAATGAATTTATATCCCGTGTATTGTTGAATTTAGATTCCCAGTTTATATTAAGAAGTGCATTAATGAGGTTACCTATTACTGCTTTGCTGTGTAGTCTAAAGGTAAGTTTCTTGGTATCTGTGGGTGTTATGTTCATGTTTGCTGAGAGGAAGGTAGGCTACTGGTCAGTTGTTCTGTCTGTGATTATACCAGAGGCAAGGCGGGTTGTTATGTTAGTCCATATGTGGTCCAGGGTTGTAGCAGATGTTTGAGTAATTTGTGTGGGCTTGGTGATTGTGGGGATTTGCATACAGGAGTTCATAGTTCATGCTGTTTGGGAAGTATTCGACTTGGGGGGGCTATTTTGTTGGCAAAGGTCAATGTTGAAGTTACTTCCTAAGATGATGTGATTTTTTATGAGTTTGTTGTTTATGATTAGGTTCCTTATATTATCTGAGAATGCAGTTGTATTAGTATTGGAAAATCTATAAATAACTCCAATAGTTAATGACGATTTGAATGAGAATTGAGTAAAGGTATATTCACAGTAGTTGTTTCTATTGCTAATAGCACTTGTGCAAGTGACATTATCTTGATAATAGATAGCTGTACCACCACTACTTTTATCAGGCCTGCAAATGTGAATGGCTTTATATCCGGCAAAGTTGTATAGTTGGGTATGGTCTTTACTTAGCCATGTTTCTGTTAAAATTATGAAGGATAGTTTAGTACCTAGTGCTGTGAGTAGTGCATTGATGTCATCAAAATATTTACCAAGTGATCTGACATATTGGTTGAATACTGATTGGCTTGCATTATTTTGGAGTTTGTTTTTTGCAAGGTTTACTGTGTAGTAACTGCAGTGGTGATGATCAATGTGCTAGTTATTGTAGATATGTGATAGCAGATTTAGGTTTTTTTTTTTTTTTTTTTTTTGAGATATATACAAGAGTTGTTACATTCTTGTACAGCCACTAGTACGCGTAGCGTTTCGGGCAAGTCCTTAATCCTATGGTCCCTGGAATACGATCCCCTGCCGCGAAGAATCGTTTTTTCATCCAAGTACACATTTTACTGTTGCGTTAAACAGAGGCTACAGTTAAGAAATTGCGCCCAGTAAATCCTCCCCGGCCAGGATACGAACCCATGACATAGTGCTCGCGGAACGCCAGGCGAGTGTCTTACCACTACACCACGGAGACTGTGAGTTCAGAGTCGATGGTAGTTTGCATGGAGTAAGAATGGAGAAGACATTAAGGATATTCTGATTAGAATATGGGGGAGGTGTGTGACAGTAAATTACAATAAAAAATTACAATAAAAATTCAAATTAAAAAATAACCACAGTGAGATGAAAGTGGAATACAAAAATAATGGCATATGATTAGTAATTAAATAAACTTGACAAAATTACTAAAATTACACTAGAATAAAATGATGATAAGAATAAAAGTAATTTAAGTACAATAATAAAACGAGCAATCACAAAAAATTCTAGATATAAAAACAACTACATAACAAAAAATGCAAATACACGTTTGATAGGACCAAATAAAAAAAGAATGTAATTAGTCAACAAGGATACAGATGACAAGTAGAAAAAATAAGGATTCAATAAAGATTGACAAGAATAATAGTCTATTTTGAAATAGACAAGATTAATTTTTTATATATTTTTATAATATAAAAAATGCTATATTTCTAATATATGCAAAAAATACTAATCAATGTAATTAGACAAGTAGAATACAGGTGACAAGTAAAAATAAGGATTCAATACAGATTGACTTTAGAAAAAATAAACGGCAAAATTACTAAAATTAAAATATAATAAACGAGGTAGATTATTTTCAGGTACACTGAAAACAAAACTTTACAATGCAAATAAACATAGCCAGAGTACAATGGAGGAAGGGAGTATGGAGAGACTATGTAACCTAGGTAACAATGCAACAATAGAATTTGGGTAATTCTATGGACCGACCTAGATTACTTAGCCTGCACTAGGTAACAAGGTTGCAGATCTCATAATTTTTTTTTTAAATATTGAACAACGTGGAGGATATCAATCTAGACCACTTCTTGAAAAGATCAGATGTAACAAACATGGAGTAACGTAACTGTTTCAAGCTCAACAAGTCACACTGTAGGACTGAGAACAGATGCTTTTTCCACCCCCAGGGTTATAAACTGATGGAACTGCCTACCCGCCGAAGCCGTAAAGGCCAAAATATTGTTTAATTTTAGAATCCAGTTAGGAAAAAATCGTGATAAATGGGGAGTTGGTTGGAACTTTGACAAGCCGCTGGCTTCCTGTCCTCGTCAAGGCCACTAGTGTATTAGTGGCCCTCGGGTAAATAGATAATCATTCATGAACTTCAGGCGTATTTCATATAACCAACGCTCTCCTCTATTCTTAGTTCATGGTTTTGACACATTTAACATAGTAGTGTGTTACTTCATTAAGAAATGTACGTCAATAGAGCAAAACAAAAAAAATGAAAAAAGAAGAGACTGTTACGTATGTGACGTAGTGCAGCCATTATAATGGAAGGCATTGTTTGATACATCACAGTGTGTGTGTGTGTAGTCCGTGAGGGTGTTTGTCTGAATTGAGCATAATTGTTTAGGCTAAATTTATCCCACCATGGGAGACTATTGAGTAGTGAGGGCGTGGCTGAAGCCGGGGCCGCGGCACCCCTCTGCACACACTTCAGGACAATGGCCTCAAGCATTGTACATATGTAATTGCTAATACATTGTTACTTTTTAATAAAAATTTTTAGGTAACCGAGCTTGTTATAAATGCTTAAATAATTAAAACTTGAAGAGTTACTTAAGAGAGCCAGGATATAAAGGATGTTAAGGATCAATGTTTGTTTACATGGTGGGAACTGAGCGAGGGTGAAGGGTAATTGTCTTCAGTTGTGTGTTTCCTCAGCACCAACAGCCAGCCACGCTCCTTCACCACCACACCAACACGGCCATCACAACAATGGCTGATCTAGAGTGGAAGCCTTTTTCCTTAACGTACGTGGAGTATCCTCAAGGTAGGTGTCTGGGTCGCCTGTCGCTACTCAAGATGTCAAACTCGTTTACTATGGAGGGCTAGAGTTTTGTGTGATTCTACATGATGAGGACCATGTCAGGGAAGACTTGTTCCTCCAGTGGCAAGCGTGAAGCACTCGTAAAAGAAAAAGTATAGTAATAATACAAATGACACTTTTATAACCTTGTGTTGCTAAATCATGTACTTGCCATCTTTTGACCTGCCAGATTGTATCAAAGTTTGTAACAAATGACAGGTACAGCACCATTGGGTATAGAATTATTGTGTCGAGTTGAGAGAAAAAAATAAATTTTATAATGTTTTTTACAATAAAAAATGATAAATGAACAGAAAGCTTTCTGAATGAATACAGTACATCAGTGTTTGCACTAGAAAGATTAGACAGCATCCCATTACCAACACAAATATTTAAAGGAAGTGAAGAGAATGAAATGACATAATCAGGGAGAGCATTGACAGACTACAAGACTCGAATGTCCCAGGTGTGAACGAAATTCAATCCACGCTCATTACGGAACTGGTAGATAAACTATGCCTACCATTGAAACTCCCTTTCAGAAAATCTTTGGTCCAAGGGATAGTCTCCCTAAATTGGAAATATGCAAATGTCACCACTATTTTAAAAAAAAAAAAAAAGGCAGAGAGAGCTTGGCAGAAAACTATCATCCTATCAGCTTAACCTCGAACATCTTCATGCTCATGGAGACAACCCTAAGGAAGGGAATCATTCGCCGTCTCACAGTGGATAATCTTGTAAAATCAGCACAACATGGATTTGTTAAAAATAGAACTTGCCTTACAAACCTACTCACATTTATGAAAACTAATCTGCTTTTCGGACAAAAAACTTCCGGTAGATTTTATTTTATTTTTGTTTATTTTTTTATATAAAAGAAGATACATTGGGGTTTGTTACATTTTTGCAAAGCCAATAATGTGCATAGTTTTAGGCAGATCCTTAAGTTAACCAATAAAAGTATTAATAGGTTCATTGTAACAGAATTTGAGTTAAACATAATTACTATATATATATATATATATATATATATATATATATATATATATATATATTGTGACGGTAACGCGTTGGTGTTCGGCTGTTTAAGGCTAGGGGTATGGCCTCGTCACATAGTTATAAAAAAAAATAGAAAAACTGGAACTTCGTCTGTGGTAAGGTAAGGAGAAGACACACAAAACACAAGTAAACTTTAACAATGAAATTTTAATTACGTTAAATAAATCAAAACATGAAAATAATGCACAAACAAATTCTTATAATAAAATCAATGAATCAAAATAATAAGAATACTTAAATGACAAAATGAAAAGTTACGTTAAGGCAAAATAACAAGTGCAATACAAAAGTTAAGTGGGAGGTGCTGGAATATTGGCTTAAAGCCACCACCTCTCTCAGTACACGCTAGAGTCTAGCTGGGAGGTGTGATGGCCACGAAAGCACTGAACATTCTGAGGACTGATGTTGGGGCGACCCCAGACATCAGGTAGTATGGGGGGCGAGTGCAGGTGCAGCCAGACCGGCGACCAATCAGCGCAGCCGTCAGCGATTAACATGTAGTTTGGTGATTTGGGTCCGAACAGGTGGCGGGCTGCATACGTTTTTGCTCACCCTGGCAAGCCTTGCTGGTGTTGTTGTCGTTGTTGGACATTTCTTCCATAGTCTTTTTATATAATTGTGAAGACGTAATTATGGAGGGAAGAGCAGGCTCAATCTCTTGAAGGAGATTATTGTCACAACTCTCCCCCGAAGCCTGCGGTTCTGGAAGAAGTACGTCGTTATGTGGTGGAGTAATGGATGGAGTTGCTTCTACTTCATAAACTCTGGAGAGGGCATCGGCTATGGTGTTGTCAGAACCCTTGATATAGCGGATCTCCAGGTTGAAGTCTTGTAAATACAGAGCCCATCGTAGAAGACGCTGGTTGGTGAATTGGGCTTGATGTAGGAAGCGGAGAGGGTTGTGGTCTGAGAAGATGGTGGTAGACCTGGCGCCTTGTAGGTACGGAGCGAAGTGTTGGAGGTTCAGGACGATGGATAGTAGCTCCTTTTCAATAGTGCTGTAGTTCCTCTGGTGTGGTTTCAGTTTGTAGCTGTAGTAGCCGACAGGTAGAACCTCCTCGCCTCGTTGTTGCATCAGGACACCACCAACGCCGGTACCACTGGCGTCGACATGAAGGACGAAAGGCTTGGTGATATCTGGAGAGGCGAGAATGGGGTTAGAACAGAGGAGGAATTTGAGTTGTTCGAAAGCAACGGTTTGCTGCATGGTCCAATTATACCGTTGCTTGGGACTGGTTAATAGAATTAGAGGTGTGGCGACTGTACTGAAATTCCTCACAAACCTACGGTAGTAAGAGGCAAGACCAAGGAAGCGCAGGAGCTGCTTCCTGGTGGTAGGCTGTGGATACTGTAGGATGGCTTGAGTGTGTGAGTCTAACGGAGCTATGCTGCCACTCCCAATAACATGACCCAGATAACGCACTTTACCTTTCGCGAAAGTGGACTTGCCCAGGTTGATGGTGAGGCCGGCTGTCAGGAGCTTGGAGAACAGACGTCGCAGCTGGAGCAGATGTGCACTCCAGGAGTTGGAGGCTACGACGATATCGTCCAGGTAGGCGTATGTGTTATCCAAGCCCTGGATGACACGGTTGACAGCTCTTTGAAAGGTGGCCGGGGCATTACATAGTCCGAAAGGAAGGCGTTCATATCTGAAAAGTCCAAAAGGAGTGATGAAGGCAGATATCTCTTTAGCGCGCTCCGTTAGACACACTTGATAGTACCCCTTAAGCAAGTCCACTTGGGACAAGTACTGGGCACTACCAATGGCATCAAGGATGTCATCTATCCTTGGCAAGGGGTAAGCATCCTTGACAGTGACAGAGTTCAGTTTACGATAGTCAGTGCACAACCGCACCTTACCTTGGGGTTTGGGCACCAAGATACAGGGTGAGGCCCAGGGGGACTCACAAGGTGTAGCCAGTCCATGATCCAAGAGGTATTGCACCTCAGCACGCATGACTTCCTTCTTGCTCGGGCTGATTCGGTAGAAGGGTTGACGAATCGGCCTGGTGTCGGGGAGCAGTTGGATGTCGTGCTGGGTAACATTACACTCTTGGGGATCATCTCGGAACAACTCGTGATGTTCTCTGAAGATCTTGACGAGAGGTGCACTATGATTATCCTGAAAGTATTTGGGAAGATCATTAAGGATTTCGGAATTAGAAAGCGCTGACTCCTTGTCAGTGCTTTCGGGAGGAGAAGCTGGGAAGGTCTCACTGTGGATGTAGGGTTCTGTGAATGTGGAATAGTTAATCAAGACAGTGGGAGGAGTACCATTATATTGCTTCAGGAGGTTGACGTGGCACAGCTGGGTCTTCCGCCGCCTATCTGGAGTCTCTATCACATAATTATTATTATTCCTGCACTCTTTGACGCAGTAGGGTCCTGAAAATTTGTTTTGTAAAGGTGAACCTGGGATAGGAAAATAGGCAAGGACGAAGTCTCCCGGCTTGAATTTTCTTACTTTGCTGGTCTGGTCGTAATGAGTCTTCATTCTCACCTGGGCTTTCAATAGATTATCATGGGCAAAGCGGTGGACTCTCTCTAGAATGTGTTGAAGGTTTTGAAGAAACTGGGGCACATTCTGATGCTCACTGAAGGTGGCATCTCTGAGAGAGTCTTTGAAAGCCTTAAGGGGAGTACGGCACTTACGGCCGTAGAGCATCTCATAAGGAGATACTCCTAGGGACTCATTGGGGAGACTTCTGAAAATACACATTATTAGGTCAATCTGCTTATCCCAATCCTTTGAGGTTTCACTACAAAACTTTTTCAAGAGTGCTTTGATGGTCTGATGACTACGTTCAAGAGAACCCTGTGAAGCAGGATGATAGGGGCTGGACAATACCTGTTTGATGTTGAACTCCTCCAGTGTCCTTTTGAAGAGATCACTGGTGAAGTTGGTGCCACAGTCACTTTGAATCTCCCTGGGAAATCCGTATTGAGTGAAGATCTTCAATAGATGTTTGATAACCGTAGCAGCCGTGATGTTCTTCACTGGAACTGCTATGGGAAATCTGGTGGTAGGACACAGGATGGTTAGGATGTAGGCGTTACCTGAACTGGTCCGAGGTAAAGGACCAACACAGTCTATTATGAGTCTGTGGAAAGGTTCCGCAGGCACCTGTATGGGAATCAGTGGTGCTCTGGGAATGGAGACGTTCGGTTTGCCTGCCATCTGACATGTATGACACTTTTACGTACTGTTTGACGTTGTTTACCATACCTGGCCAGTAGTAGTCTTGACGAATCCCATGGTAAGTCTTGTTGAAGCCGTAGTGGGAGAATGCTCCGTGGGCCAGGTGTAGAATAGTGGGCCGCAGGCTGGTGGGAATCACAAGTTGTTCGATGTTGGCCCAATCGTCCTCCTCCTTCAGTTTACTGGGTCTATATCTGCGGTAGAGCAAGTCGTTCTCTAGGAAGAACCCAGGAATACTGTCGGGTTGAGTCTCAGCCTGGAAAAACAATGGTGTTAAAGTAAGATCTTCCCTCTGCAACTTACGGAACTCCAACTTGGTCAGATGCGGGGGTAGTTTCTGAGGGTCTTGAGGGACAGCGGTAGCAGTAGAGTCAGCTGGCTGTGGACGTGCGGCTTGTGCACGGGTGGTCACGAGAACCGGAGGAGAAACTTCATCACTCTCTTGAACCTCTGCTGGAACATACTCGAGAATAGGATTTATTGGCACAGAGTTACACACCTGGGGTTTGTCCATGACGATCAGGTTGGTCGGTTGCAGGTCTTCTGCCAAGTCGTTGCCTAGGAGAAGTTGCACTCCAGGCATGGGAAAAGGCTTTTCCCTGACGGCGACTTGGACTTCCCCGTTCACGTAGGGACAATTCAGGTGGACTCTGGCGAGAGGGTATGGAGTGGTAGCAGTGAGGTCAGTGATGAAGACTGTTTCCCC